CTTTCAGGCTGATAACGGCACCGAGTTCGTCAACACTGCTACCACTTCCTTGCTGTCCAGCAAAGGTATCTTGTTGCAAATGCCGTGCCCCTATACTTCCCCACAAATGGCAAAGCAGAACGGATGCTTCGCACCCTCAACAATATAGTCCGCACCATGCTCATTCATGCCTCTATGCCCCCTGCTTACTGGACGGAGGCTCTAGCTACCACCACCTATGTGCTCAACCATCGCCCCTCCTCCCTTTTCAGGTCCTTCATAATAAGATTCCTGATTATTCTCATCTCCAGGTTTTTAGGAGTTTATGCTACCCAAACCTTAGTGCCACGACTTCCGATAAACTTTCTCCACGCTCTGCTACTTGCGTGTTCCTCAGTTACCCCTCCGCTCACAAAGGCTATCGCTGCATGGATTTATCTACACGCTGCGTCCATGTCTCTCGTCACATTGTGTTTGATGAGACAGTCTTTCCATTTGCGGCTGTTCAACAGCCCCATCGGCTCTTGACTTTTTGCTGCAGGATTTGACGACGGTAGCTCCTTCAAGTTATGGTTGTCGGCTTCGCCGTGCTTTATATGGTCTTAAACAGGCCCCTCGTGCTTGGTTTGAACGTTTTGTATCTGTGTTAAAGGCTGTTGGTTTCACACCTAGTGATCATGACCCTGCTCTATTTATTCATCTCTCATCATGTGGTCGTACTTTGCTTCTTTTATATGTTGATGATATATTGATTACGGGTGATGTTGTGGAACATATTTCTCTTGTGAAACAATAGTTTGGTGAATACTTTCAAATGTCTGATTTAGATCCTCTCAGCTATTTCTTAGGCATTGAGGTTAAGCAGTGTGCCAATGGATAATATATTTCTCAGGCCAGTACATACAAGATCTTATTGCTCGTTCCGGTATCACTGACAATCGGACAACTGCCACACCCATGGTTCTTCACTTGTAACTTCGTCCTACTAATGGTACACCTTTTCCGAATCCCTCTAGTAGACACCTTGTGGGTAGTCTTGTTTATCTCACCATTACCAGACCAGATATCGCTCATGCAGTCCATATTTTGAGCCAGTTTGTGAGTGCTCCTACTTTTGTTCATTTTGGACATTTACTTCGTGTGCTACAGTACTTAAGGGGCAGCATCTCGATGTTTATTCTATGCCCGTAATAGTCCGCTTCAGTTACATGCTTACTCGGACTCCACTTGGGCGAGTGACTCAACGGATCGTCATTCCATCACCGGATATTGTATTCTTCTTGGCTCCTCTCCTATTGCATGGAAGTCCAAGAAGCAGGCAGCTGTATCTTGCTCTAGTACAGAGGCGGAACTTCGACCACTTGCCACTATTACTTCAGAGCTTGTATGGCTTCGATTGTTGTTGGCTGACTTTGGGATTTCTTGTGATGTTGCCACCACACCTCTTCTTTGTGACAATACAGGAGCTATACAAATTGCCAATGATCCTATGAAGCATGAACTTACTAAACATATTGGTGTTGATGCCTTCTTTACTCGGTCTCATTGTCATCAGAAAACCATTGCTCTTCAGTATGTGCCTTTTCTGAGCTGCAGTTGGCTGATTTCTTCACTAAAGCACAAACTCGAGAGCATGGCTGATTTCTTCACTAAAGCACAAACTCAAGAGCAGCATCGGCTTCACTTGATCAAACTCAATGCTTCAGATCCTCCACTTCCACCTTGAGTTTGAAGGGGGGTGTTAAGTATATGAAGGCCCATCTAATATAGGCCCATATGGCCCATCAGGCTCTATATATATATAACTATCTCCACTACTGGAGTGATCATCTTCTCAAATCTCAAAGGTTAGTAACATTTGCTAGCACACAGATATAGAAAGCAATGCCACAGTGTGCCATTTGGAGACTGAAAGCATCCTAAAAGGAAAGTATTAGAGATAGAGTACAGCTCCCGGGCGCTGGTCCTTGGGTCCTCAACAGAGGCGCCTCCCACATGTCATCTTCTGCTCCTTTTGAGCTTCTTCATTGCGATGTATGGATGTTTCCTGTGTTGAGCACTTCTGGCTTCAAATATTATTTGGTCATAGTTGATGATTACAGTCACTTTGTCTAGATTTTTCCTTTGCGCCATAAATCTGATGTTCATTCTCATATTGTTGATTTCCTCGCTTACACCCAGACCCACTTCGGCTCCCTGCCCAAGTGCTTTCAGGCTGATAACGGCACCGAGTTTGTCAACACTGCTACCACTTCCTTGCTGTCCAGCAAAGGTATCTTGTTGCAAATGTCGTGCCCCTATACTTCCCCACAAATGGCAAAGCAGAACGGATGCTTCGCACCCTCAACAATATAGTCCGCACCATGCTCATTCATGCCTCTATGCCCCCTGCTTACTGGACGGAGGCTCTAGCTACCACCACCTATGTGCTCAACCATCGCCCCTCCTCCCTTTTCAGGTCCTTCATAATAAGATTCCTGATTATTCTCATCTCCAGGTTTTTAGGAGTTTATGCTACCCAAACCTTAGTGCCACGACTTCCGATAAACTTTCTCCACGCTCTGCTACTTGCGTGTTCCTCAGTTACCCCTCCGCTCACAAAGGCTATCGCTGCATGGATTTATCTACACGCTGCGTCCATGTCTCTCGTCACATTGTGTTTGATTTGACAGTCTTTCCATTTGCGGCTGTTCAACAGCCCCATCGGCTCTTGACTTTTTGCTGCAGGATTTGACGACGGTAGCTCAACCCTCTTCAGGTGTTGAGCAGCCATGCCCTCCCACGGTAGCTCCACCCGTTTCAGGCGTCGAGCGTTCGTGGTCTTCTTCGCTGGCCTTCGACGACTACATCATCTCAGTCGGTAATTTCCTGCCGGCCCCTCTGCCATCCGCCAGGCCTACAGGTCAGCTGGTGCCTCCTCTTGTTGGCACGCTGCCTAGTCCCACTCCTGCAACAGGGACTGGGCAGACACCCTCCGACGCTCATGCCGCGGCGCCACCGGCCGTGGCCCCCCTGCCGCCGACGACCCTGGACCGCACCATCACAGAGGTCTACACGCGTCCGCCCCGCCCCGACGATTAGCTACCATCCCTACCTCGGCCTGTGCAAGGCCCTCTGCGCACAGGTGTGATCGGGCGGCGGCTGGCCCCTTGCTGCTTCCTGCACCTGCGCCCCAGCCGATGCAAGGCGCCTCGCCGACGTCTCCGCTTCTTCGACGGATGGTGACCCGCTCTCAGACAGGCTCTCTCAAGCCCGTCGATCGGCTGATTGATTATCCAAACCTGACCCATGCATCCATCTCGCCAGCGCCTTGACCGATCCTAACTGGCGTGTAGCCATGGCTGATGAGTACAAGGCGCTGGTCAACAACGGCACGTGGAGGCTTGTGATGTGGCCACCAGAAGGTAATGTGGTAACTGGCAAATGGTTCTTCAAGCACAAATTCCACTCAGATGGCACTCTTGCTCGTCACAAGGCTCGTTGGGTGGTTCGTGGCTTTACCCAGCAGCACGGAGTCGACTACAATGAGACTTTCAGTCTGGTGGTGAAACCAGCCACCATCCAGACTGTCCTCAGCATCGCCGCTTCTCGCAATTGGCCCATTCATCAACTGGATGTCAAGAATGCTTTTCTCCATGGTCACCTCGAGGAAAGAGTCTACTGCCAGCAGACATCTGGTTTCGTTCATCCAGCTGCCCCTGATCATGTTTGTCTGTTGCAGGGTTCCTTGTATGGACTCAAGCAGGCTCCGTGTACTTGGTGTCATCATTTCGCTACATATCTTTGGCTTTTGGGTTTTACTGCCTCCGTCTCCGACACGTCTCTATTTGTTTATAACGATGGAGACAGCATTGTCTACCTGCTGCTCTACGTGGACGACATCGTTCTGACAGCGTCTTTTCTGACTCTCCTTCAACGGATCATTGAGTTGTCTTCATGCGGAATTTTCTATGACAGATCTTGGCCATCTTCATCATTTCCTTGGCATCTGTCACGCGTTCGCCCAATGGCCTGTTTCTGGTCGACAACGGCACCCTCGACACTGGCCTTCACATCGGCGTTGTTCCTGTCCAGTCTTTGACGGCGTACTATGATGCAAATTGGGCAGGTCGTCCGGATTCTCGACACTCCACGTCAGGCTACTGCATCTTCCTTGGCGATAATTTGGTCTCCTGGTCCTACAGAAGACAGTCCACTGCGTCCCGTTCTAGTGTGGAGGCCGAGTACCATGATGTCACCCAAGCCGTTACCGAGTGTTGCTGGCTTCGCCAACTGATGCATAAGCTTCATATCCCGAATGCTTCCGCGACGGTCGTCTACTGCGATCAGTGATGTTTGTATGACCGGCAATCCCATTCATCATTGTCGCACGAAGCACATCGAGATTGATATCCACTTCGTCTGTGAGAAGGTTGCTCTGGGACAAGTTCGTGTCCTCAGCGTCCCGTCCTCCCACCAGTTCGCGGACATTATGATGAAAGGACTACCAGTACAGTTGTTCACTGACTTTAGGTCCAGTCCTTGCGTCCGGAATCCTCCCCACTTCGACTGCGAGCAGGTATTAGCGATAGAGTTGTAGTCTAACTTGACTTGTACTCCAATAATGTATATCACTATATATATACGAACCCCCCCCCCACACACACACAAAAAAAAAGGGGGGGTTGAGAGGTGATTTCCCTAATTCTACAAAAAGTAAAAAGGAACAGAGGTGGTACCTTGGAAACAATCAATGGCTACCATAGGGCACATAAAGCAGCATCGTTTTTCTGTGACTTAAATCATGAATGAATGGATGACTCTTATGTCTTACACTGTTTGTTTTACCCTTTTTTCTGTGCTGTTCAATTAATTACAACATGTGATTAATAGGCTAATATTCTAGCACAGATGGCAAATCCATGTGAAGGAACAGTAAACAAGGTAACAGACAAACAATCCATTACAATTGAATGAAATGTACACAAGGTATGCTACAATTAAAATTATAAGAGAATCAATTGCTGCAAAAGAATACTTACCCATCAACAAGGTCCACTAACTTTGGGAATAACTGTCTATCCAGAAGCCGATTTATTTCTGAAACTGTTGAATCCATGGATTGCATGTCTACGATGTACCTTGTGTGCAAGTAGCTAACAGCAGCTTTTGTCTTCTCCAGGGTTTCAAGTTTAACACCCCGTTTCTTTTGCTTCTGCAATAGGGACACCTTCTTTTGATAATCGATTTTCATAAGCTCCCCAGCCTAATTTGACATACGCAGAGGTAAACCAGAAAAAAGAGGTGGTTAGAAATTGGAAAAAACACAGTAAAAAGCACAGAAAATAAGACATTGCTAACATTTTTGCATATTAGTTGATAGTAAAAGAAACAACAGGCCAAAAGTATGTATTAGGCAGTTTTTTACACTATGCTTAAGTTGTCAGATGGCTTCTCACTCGGTATGTACCCCTTATGATAGGATTTGAAGTAATTGCAATTTGAATAATAATTGTCAACAACCCTGGAACACACTAGCTGATTTTCTTGAGAAAACCACAGACACATACAAGGTGCAATGCTAGGCAATACTTAAATAGTTAAATAAGAGCTGCAACAGGACTATTACAGAAACAATTAGTTTACGCTACCAAAGTTCAAGATTAAGCTAACAGTTGGGGTGTAAATAAAGAGATGTCCATTAATGTGAGTAATTGTATCAAAGGATCACCATTGACAACATGCTTTTTGAATAATGAGAGTGAAACGAATATACCCACAATTACAGAAGTGTTCCAACGTACAGTTCTTACATATAAAACAAAGAGGTGACAGGAAGAAATAATTTTGAAGGCAATAGCATTGGAATTAATCAAAATGTTGAACAAATTAATTGAATATATATTACCTTCACTTCGTCATACAGTTTTTTCTCCCAAGCAAGCATTCTATCTAGAACTGCAGCATGAGTTTCAAATCTATCATCAGTATCAAAATTATCGTTCAGGTCCTCATGGTCAGGTAAGTTCTTGAAGGAGCGATTCCATGTGATAACATGCATAATTTTTGTAGAGTGGTCGATATGTCCTAAAAACATTAAGAGAAATCATTAGGAAACATGACACTGTACACGCATTAGAAAGAAGTAAAATGGGAAGTTCAGAAATAGAAAAGTAAATCTCGGTCAAAATTGGAGAACAAGAAATGGCAAAAACAGAAGCTGCATGGAATATGAACTTCTTCAACGTGTTCCATTGTGATTAGGATAACTGATTCTTAATGGTACAGGTTATGGCAGCAGCCGCTTAATTATTAGAAAAATGGCAATACGACATGACAAGATTAAAATCCAACTTGGCAGCACATAAATAATTAAAAGATGGAGAGTACAAAACATATTTTTATTATTATTTTCACAAATGAGCCCGTTTGGCAGACCTCCAGCTAGATTTTTGTAGCTCCAAGAAATCCTGGATCTGGAGCTGGAGATATGTTGAGGTGTTTAGATGATTCATTTTGTTTATAGTTTGGACATCACTTTAATTTAATCTAAATACTACATATCCAATCTGGATCTCAGAGCTCGAGCTGTGCAAAAAATTAACGACATCTCAGCAACAAGTTTTCATATGTGAATTTGTCATGTAATCAAGAAAATTGTCCAATTTCCAATCATGGGGACAGCTGGCGGCAGCCAGAGATGAAATGGGCGTTAACGCGTTGTACATGCTGCTCGTATCTTTTTATCACATTAATGAAATTATATGCGATGCTTGGACCAAAGACCAAATATTTTGTGCCAGTAAGCAATATATCTGGGCATTCTGTAACATTTACCAAAATTACTGTGCATTTATGCAGTTGGCTCATAATAAAATTGAAGAAACTTACATCATTGATATGTTACTAAAATTTGTGTCCAAAGCAAAGGAATAGAAAGTAGGGAATGACAGTAATAAAATAGTACTAATAATGACTAGTTTACTCGCAAATAACTTGTTGTGCCTTCATCATGCTGCTCAATGATCTAATCATAAACCTTGGATCAAACACATTAACAGGATAAAAGAATTTTTTTTTCGAAACCAGCATGCGATACGTGTATGGTATAAAACCACCTATAAAGAATAAAGTAAATATAAATGAAACATGAGGAAACTCTGGCAAAGCACAAGTATGGAATCAAAGTATTAGGCCAAACTGAGTGTTTCCACTTCAAATGAGTGCATGTGTTGAAACAATTTAAAGCATTTATTACAATTGATTTGATGATCCACATAGCTTTCTGAAGAAAGTTTGCACTCATTACTTCAATGTCTAAGGATATGACAACAGAGGATAAAGTAATCTGTTCACTGAGGTGGCTATACAGCCAGGAAACTTCTAAAACAATTTTCCAAGCCATCAACTGGGTTACAGCATAAAATCTTCAGCCAAATTTTGTATTCGCATCAAGAATCATGTAATAAACCTTCAATAAAAGTAATGATCTTGGGCAAAAAACAAAATTGATGTCCTTAGTAAACTTGAACTACAACCAGGCATTCTAAAATTTAGATAAATAAGCCTATATATATAAAATAATGTTTCAAGGTGCTACTGCTACAAAATATAAAAGGAACTTAGTTTCTAGTGGATCACATAGGTTAAAAAACAAATGTGTTGCTATTACTAAAGCTATAAGATATCTCATGCTTGTCACATTACAACTGAAGGTCAGAATTCTGAACTCCACATTTTGTGATTCCAAAAGTATATATTGACACACAAGAGCAACAATTTGAAATCGATCCAAAAGCAAGTTAAAAGTAACATGCTATATTTTTTGGACTCAATAGGTGTGCAGCATCACATAAACATTAAGAAGCAAATTGAGTAGCACCAATACTTGCCTCGGCTGTCAGCAAGGTTGGAGTGATAATGCATTCGGGTGGCCTCCAGTTTTTTTGACACATCATGTGCACTCTCTGAAGCTCTAAGGAAGTGATCATCAAGTTGTGTAACAATATGTAGCAAACTGGCAGTTCCTGATGCCACCATTACCTTCCCCTTCCGAGTTTCAACTGCACCCATCGAAGAGGCATGCTGGTAGTGTGCTGCTGGTGGTGGGCCAGGTGCTTTGGGTGGTTTCCTCACAATAGGTTTCGATGGCGGTAGATTAGCCACCATCTCCTCAATTGCTTTCTCCTTCTCTGCGTCCGTCTGTGGTGGCCTTTCCTCAGTAGCAGCTGGCTCACTAACAACTGGTTTTGCCACAGGTGCCTTCACCTCAGCCACTGGCTCATTATCATGCCTTTCCATCCACAAAGTATCATCAGCAGGCTGCTCTAGGGTGGGTGGTGGGGTGGGAGTTGGGCCAAAGAAGTAATCCCAGGTAGCCATCTGTGACTCCAGCACTGGGGGCGGTAGCATTGCGGTGGCAGGCATTGGTGGGGTCTGGTTCAGCCTTGGAGGCGGAGGTGGTGTTACTGGAGAAGATCCCACACTACTCATCAAAATCCGCTTTGATTGGTGTCCATGCACCATGCCGTCCACATTAACATCGTCATGCTCACGGTGATCGTCGTCTTCATCACTGTCGTCGTCGTCGCTGTCGCTGTCGGTCTTGATATGCCCATCGTCTTCCTCCTCGTCCTCATCCTCATCCTCCTCTCGGATAGGAGCATCGGCAGGAGGGCGGTTTTTGGCGGCGGCCCTCGGCTCCGGCTTAGGAATATTGGGAGTGGAGGAGGACCTTTGGAGGCTAGAATGAGAGAAGTCGGCGAATGGCGGCGGCGGCGGCGGGGAGGGGCTGCTGACGGAAGCTGCGGAAGGGCCTGGCGGAGTCGAGACAGATGCCGCCGCCGCAGCGGGAGCGTGGTGGGTATGGGAGGACACCAGGCTAGGGTTGGGCGCCTCGCCTTGGGCGAAATCGGATAGCGCGCCGCCGGTGCTCTTGAGGCGGACGGTGTAGCCAGTGTGGGCGGCGGCAAAACCGTTCCGCGAGACCACGGCGTCGGCCATCAGCCGCTTCCGCTCCCGGCACCGACACACCGCCTCCTCCTGATCGATCTTTGACTGCCCGCACCCCATCGAAGCGGCTGGCGGCGACTCGACGGTGTCCTTGTCTTCTTGAGATTCTTTGGGAGGGGTTCCTAGTTCTAGCGCTTGATGCGGCGGCGGCGGCAGGTGGGGAGATTGTTGAGGCCCGGTGGCGTTGGATGAACCGTGTGGGTGCCCGTGCAGCTGCAGAGTGGGGAAAGTGACGGAGCAGGACTCTTGTTCTTCAACCTGTTCGGATGGCTGACCGGTTCGTGGCTGGATCGTAGATTATGATTGTTGCCTGGCTGGTGCGACAGCAAAATATTATTTTAACTAAAAATTTAGAATCGTTTATGAGATTCACCAGCCATCTGATCAGGCTGTTTTTCTCTTTTGTTTTCTTATTTTCTCTTTTTTATTTTCTGGTAACTATGCAAGGTTTTATATTAAAAAAATGCTTTCCTCGCTCTCTTTACAACTGACTAACTAGTAATTTGCGCGTGTAATAATACCTTTGCAATTTTGTTTGAGAAATGTAATAACCTTGAGATAGATATGATAAAATGAATATGTCCAATAGGGAAAGACTCAAAACCTAATATGAGGTGACAGCATATTATATTGACTAGCAAATATACCCGTGCATTGCACAAACAAAATAATATCATAGTAATTTAAGTTTGAGCGTTTGTCATGCTATTCTAAAATATGATATTTCGACTGTGATGTTTATGTTGATATAGTCTTGTAGCCCTGTCTCATTTACTAACTTCAAGACATGACGTATAGGTAATATATTCATCCGTTGCAACGGGAGAAAATAGTTATAGCCTAATGAATATTATAAAAAACTGTACTGTCCTTTTAGAGAATATAGGTCATGCTTGGAAACGTATCCAAAGCATTTTCTTTTCATGCTCAAACCGTGAGACCGGGAAAAAAACTCGAACTATGCATGTGTGCATATATCTACCTATCTTGTCCGTGACTATATATCTTTTTGCATTCTCCACACGTTGCAATCTTTGGTGGAGATGGCATTGCGCATGAGTAGATAAAAAGAATAGCTTAAGTTCTTTCTTAGCGATTAGATTAGTTTGGTTATGCTAGTTACATGGCTAGCTCAAAGATCAAATAGTATGAGTTGATCAAAATTAATAATAATTGATAAAAGCCTTGTGCTTTCGAGCCCTGACTGCCCTAGTCGCCTAGGGAAATGTCGCCCGCTCCTTGCTAGCGTCGCCGTCTACCGGTGCGTGTACCGGGGATTAGAAGGAAAGGGGATCCATCCCTTTTTTCGTAGTTTTATTTCTAGTTGTTTAAGGTTTAGTTTAAATAATTATTTCGACGAAATCAGATGATTTTCGATCGGGGTCGTGTTTCCTGTGACGACTTCAGTGATTGCCACGACGAGATCGCTGTTGCAGGCGTCGATTTCATCAACAGATGGCCAAGTGGCTTTGGCTCCGACCTTCGAGAGATGCCTTTGGAGAAGAAGAAGATTGAAGAGTCAAGATAGAATATTATGTATTTTTTATTTTAGATTTTTTCGTGTGAAATTTGGGGATGTACTGTACCGAGTTTTAATATAATCACGGGACCCTTCGCAAAAAAAATAGTATGAGTTGGAAAAAGTCATAAAACAATGGTAGCTTGGTGGAGTTCCAAGTCTTGTATTCAAGTATTCGAATTTTTCTATTTATTACCACAACCACGTCACATAGAGTACTTGGGAGAAAAAAAAACTAAACAGGAAAAATCACGAGATAATAAGTCGGAAGTCCCGTGGAGTAATAAAGAGTTTGGAAAATCATGTGCGAAAATAAATCAGAAAAGCCCTATGGAGTAATAAAAAAATTCGTTCGCTGCAAGCTTTATTGCCCACGTCGCGTACTCCTGGCAGCATGTATAGGCCTTCTCTTGTTTTTATTCGGCTACATCTGCACGAGCAAACTCACCGAATCCGATTGGACTTTAGCATCAAAACTAGGAAGCACATGCATCAAACAACGCACACGCCTGGCTACCACTAGATGTCTCGACTACATATCCGCTTTGTACATGTTTTCTACTTTGGAAAAAAACAGAAAAATAAAAATAAAGAGAAACAAAACCAAGAAACTTATGTTGTGTAATTTCTACTTGTATCTTTTTTATTTGGATTATGATTCGGAGTCCTATTCTTAGCTTACTCAGGATCAGAGGATCTATTTGATTAGAATTCTAACTATCTAGAATACCATAAGAACATGTCTCATATATAAAGGAGACTTGTAAAGAAGGGAACAAAGAGATTCCATGTTCACGGAGTTAGTTAGGAGGGGTGGACGAAAAAATGGCCAAAAATTTTACCTCTTTATTATTAGGTATAGATATAGATATAATAGGTCAATATGAACTAACATGTCGTAGAAGACATTGTTCTCAATACACAAACATAGATAGGCCACGGTAATGAATAGTTTGATCCGGTAATCCAAACAGAGGATCTAACCAAAGATCACCACAAAAAAAAGCACAGAAGGCAATCACAAGCAGAGAAAAATCACCACAAAAACACAGGGCACAACTATAATAGTGGTTGACGAGATCCTAATATAGGTGTGTGTTAAGCTTCGGGATCTAAGGTTCCCGATTGAGAGACCCCCGACCGACCCTTCTAGGATTGCCCGGGGGATCGAGGGCTACACCCCTCGGTTGTGCTCATGCACACCCTCCGGCTAAGGAATCGGGCCAAGCCCGAGCATGCCCACCGCCTCTGCTCGGGACTCGGGGGCTCGCCCGAGCCTCAGGCTCCTGATCGACGGAAGTCTGCCCCTGATCCTTGGCCCCTTCTCAACCTTAGGCGCTAGCCAAGGCCCGGGCTTGAGACAGTGCCCCAAGCCTCCAAGGCTCGGGGGGCTCCTCAGCGTTGCCCAGCAGGCGCGATGCTATCAACCGCTTCTCCGACAGGGTCACGCATGGGGCGTGACACAGGGAGACCAAATTCCTCTGCTAGCTTCAGGGGCTCGGGGCTTTTGGGCTCGCGCGTCAGTCCCACAAGCCGACTGCCTTTGCCACCAAGAAGCCTCCAGAAAGGTGTACCCTGGTGGAGGTCGGTCTAAGCCGATAGAGCCTGACACTCAATGTGTCAGAACAGAACAGTCGGATGACGGCTTCGGCTGCACGACAACACCACGGTCCACGCCGCGCCGCTACAAGACCCCCCCAAGACTCCAGCGCACGTAGATCATAGGCTAAACTGCCCCAAATCATCATATACCCGACCTACCTCGATATATAAGGGGGAGGTCGGATCCTAGAGGGGGAGGATGATTCCAAACAGATCATTCTATCCTCACCGAACAGCTCAAGATCTGCACCGAGAGCAGAGCCATGTTGAGAGTACCGAGAGCTCCTTCCCCACTTTCATCGTCTTCCTCCTCTCCGACGAGAGGGAAGACCTCACCGACAGAGAGGTCCCTAGGATTAGCACCAAGTGATCCCCTACCAAATCTCTCTTACACTCTGTTGTACCCCTCCCTTGATTTTGGGTGCTCTCGAGTATAAGGATCATCAACTACTGGACGTGGGGCCCCGATAGCTCGAACCAGGATAAACCGTTGCGTCCCCTCTGTGATTTTTTGTATTCTTGAGTCCACCCGAGCCACCGGAGACTGTTGATATTTCTTAACGACTATTGGAGGATTCCGCAAGCACACAGAACTATCGCGTAGCACTTTGCTCTGTGAGTACCGAGTGTCGAATTTATATTTTTTCCTACAGGAAGACAGAAGGCTAGAATTTATAATTGGACCAAGATTTGCTAAGGCAAGGCTAAAGTTGATCCTAGATAGGTGAACGATAGTGAAGGATGAATATAAACTACCAAAACTAACTACTACTAACAAGCTAACCTAGAGATCCTAGGTGGGAGAGCGAGCGATTTATCTTTCTAGTAACTAAGGTAAACAAATGACTAGAAGAAATGCGATAGTACTTCGGGGCACAACCCGCCTATCAACTAGAAGAGTTAAATAGACAAGGTTGTTGTCTGGTAAAATGTGAGGCGTTTAGGCTTGATATTTTAAGAGCTATAAAAATAACAAATGCCCTGTGTTAGTTTGCTCCTATTCTGAATAGGACTGTATGTTTGTATTAATTGGCTCACTTAAGTTATGAATCATGACTTGATGATAATACATGAGTTGTAGTACTTTTCTTAAGCTTTTGAAAAAGATAAATAGCATAATTTTTGGTTAAATAGATTTTTAGTTATTGTTGTTTAAATTTCTGTGGTTGTTTCTGCCCAAACTCAGATAGGGTTGCCTTGTTGGTACTGTGGGGCCTTTTTAATAGTAGAATTAGCTCTAGGTGTTTATAAAAAAGTTGTTTACAATTTTCTAAGATTTCTAAAAAGTCTAGAACCACAATTATTGGACATGTGGAACTCCAGTTATAGCTGTTTAAACTTGCATATCAGGTTATGTCCATGTTTTGGATAGAGATACATTGATTGCATTAATTGATCATGTTAACTGTAGAATCATCTTAAAATGATAATAAGAAAGTTGTAAAAAACTTCATAATATTTTCAAAAAGTTGTGCTTCTTGTTTGTTGGAGGTCTAGAACTCCAGTTATACTTCAATAAAGTTCCTATCAGTTTTCTGTACCACTGTTGTTTGGGCTGCATGTGCAGTTTTGATTGTGCAATTATTTTCGTGGTGTAAATGATGTTTTATGTGGTTGTGGTGAATACCAAAGTTGTAGGTAACTTCATAATCTAGCTTTTGTTAAATTTTCATGACCATAGGCCTGATAATTTAGGAGCTATAGATTTTATAATTTCCCTATCAGGTTTTGCATGCTCTCTGTACAGATCTGAATGATTGTGTTGTTTGACCCAACTAAGCTTTGAATCATCTCTTGGATATAATAGAAGAAGTGTAGTTATTTTCTTGAGCTTTCCAAATTGTTAAAAATCACTCCTTTTGGTGGTCTAAATCTCCAGTTATAAGCTTGTGAAGTTGCATGACAGAATATGTCCAAGTCTGGATAGAGGTGCTCAATT